ACCCTTTTTGGCCCCGCCCCTCAGGCCCCTGGGGGCTTAGGACTAAACCGGCAACTATTTTTGTTGACCTTTGTCCATGGAAGGTCCCTGCAAAATTTCATTGAAATTGGTTCAGGGGTTTTGGAGGAGAAGTCGAAAATGTAAATTGTTTACGGACGCACGGCGGACGACGGACGACGACGGACAAAAGGCGATCGCAATAGGTCACTTGAGACTTTGTCTCAGGTGACCTAAAAATCCCCAGTTGGCCTGCCAAAGTACTTTAATCAAATTTCAGCACCCATTTGTCACTCATTACTGACACTTAGTCCTGATCTTAAAATTACAAAATTATATCATATATTTAAAGAATTTTGTCTGCAAAAAGATATTAGCTCCCATTATGCTGTATCCAGAAGGTCATTTATATACATATATAGGATGAACAATGTTGGCCCAAGAACTGAACCCTGTGGAACTCCCGAGGACACATTAATTCAATCAGAATGTTCATTCCTTTATGTTGCTCTTTCTTTCCATATAACAATTGACTGTAAGCCTTAAATTGTCTAAACCTGAAATACGGACAAGAGTTATTTCTTCACAACCAAGTCGTTGCTGTAATGTGAAATCCAATCAAAAAGGTATGGTTCTCTGCATGACCACATGTTTTTATCTCCGATACATATACTCTGGTTTCCCATCGCACAACCATATTGGCCAACAGGAGAATGATCAATTTCATTTGATAGAACACTTTTTCATTATTTTGTTAAATAAATAATTTTAATCAAATTAGGTATATATACATGTAGGCCCATTTCTTCTTAACCAAGTCACTGTTGTGATATGAAATCGGATGAAAAAGGTATTGGTCACTATACATGACCACATGTTTTTTTCCCATCACATGAATTTCTCCCATGTTACCATCTTAGCCAACAAGAGAATGATGATATAATTTTATAAAACAAATAGGTATATGGGGTCATGCACTGCATATGAGCGGATTGGTCGAGTGGTAAACACTCAGGCCTTCCATGCAGGCGGCCAGGGTTCCATCCGTGAACGAAGTCGGCGTACGCATGGATTGTTCAGAGAAAGTGTTTTTCTCCTGCCCACACAACTCCAACCACCTAAATTGCTTATACCTATGTATTTTGCCCACCCCCCACTTTGGGTATTATATTTCTGGAAAAAAAAGTGCGCAAATTACATGGGTTTTTACGGTAGGTGGAGTATTATTTGGTCTGGGGTGGATGTTGCGGTATCTGTGCTGTAGCATTCAAGTGAGGTGGCACTATAAATGATGATGTTGGAAGCACGGTCCCACTACAAACAGAACACATTACAATTCCAGCACACATGCAGGCATACACACATAGGGAGATATTAGCCAGGTGGCATAAGACTAGTAGTTAGCGCCTGAGAAGGCAGCTCCTGCGAATTCCTCAAAAAATGTATTGATTAATGTATATGCTTATTGTAATAATTGTATATCTATGTACTACAAAGTGCTTTAGAGTGGCTTATGTTAGTTAGATAGGGCGTTATATCAAATGCTGTATATTATTACTATAACCACATGTTTTTTTCTTAGTGGTACTTATGCTTTCCAATGACATTAAATTTTCTTACCCTACCATCCAGGCCAACAAGGGCATGATACATTTCGTTTGGATTAACAGAAAAAATTTCATAATTGTTATTAAATAAATAAATTTTGAGTAAGTGAGGAATTAAATGTACGCCCTTTTCTGCGTAACCAAGTCACTGTTTGTGAAATCAGACACAAACAGGTATGGGGTCACTTCCATAACCACATGTTGTTTTCTCTCTGGGTACTCTGGTTTAATCCCATTCTATCAAATTCACTACACACTACCATCTGGGCCAACAAGAGAATGATCATTTTAATCTGATAGAACTTTCTTCATAACTATATTGTATAAATAAATAAATTTTGATTAAGTGATGTCATTATATTCATGTCACATTTTTACTAACCCAGATAAGGATGAAACAATCCCAGTATTTTAATCACTTTATTGAGGAAGACCAAGAAACACCTGGCGCAGGGACACAGAATTTGAAATGAAGCAACAGCTAGGGATACAACTGGAATACTGGCGCTAAATAGAGTTAGATGAAGGAAGGTTTTTCAATGGCCTATGCTCCCCGGAGGAGCTAAGGGCCTAGGTAAGTAAGTAAGTAAGTATTGAGCAAGGAATAATGAATTAAGACTACTTACCGAACATTTCATATCTGATTTCAATCCCTTTGCGACGAATTTCATTCTCTTCTGAATCGGACTGGAATGTAACGTAAGTCCCTCGGCCAAAACTGATGAATTGTTCTGCATGATATTCTGGGCATATGTGTCTCTCATATCGACCAAGACCTTTAAGTTACAAAATTGCACTTTGATTAGAGCTACATGTACTACATATATCCACAATATGCTCGGGAACCAAAAATCATTTTCGAGAAATTTCTATTTTTGTGATTTAAGAATTTCCATACCACTGTCTAAAAATGTAACTTTACCCATTGGGTACTTTTTTTCTGGCTTGACTTATAGCTTTGATAGGTCTTTGAATAGCAGTACCATACCTTGCAGGACTTTTATGAGAAATAATAAAGATGAAATGATCAAAATATAATCAAAAACAGTGTTCTGAGTGTAAAAATTCAGCAGGGCTTTATATTAATTAAGCTTATAAATGCATAGCATAGAATATAAAAAAATGAGCAGAAAACGATGGTGGCATTTTCATTTCAATTGGAAAGGGTTTTCCTCATTTTTGTCTTCATTTTGGGCAAAAAAGGGCTCTTTTTTTGCTAAGAAGAAGCGGCTTCCTTTTTGCTGTAAAGCTAAGCAAAAAAAAAAAAAAAAAAAAAAAAATGAAAGTTTATCAGAATCTAATTAAAGAATCAAGCCTGTTTAAATCATTTCACTTACCATATAATAGATACCTGGGATAAATAAAAGAAAAAAAACCCACTGCTTATTCATAAAAATAGATTTTTTTCATTTCCCCCCCCCCCCCCCCCCCAAACAAGCTTCATTTATATTTTAGTGAATAGCAGGCTGATTAATTATGATATTTTTCCGTGTACCAAATTTTCCCTAAATAAACTATTAAAGTTAAAAAAGGCTTATTACATGTTTAATATGATCTGTTATGGAAGCCTATTATAATATCATAGACTGTAAGAATTTGGTTAAATATTTAGGCTCAATACCGAAGAAAATATTTCTGGTATGACATCTGGACAATAAATGTACCTTATAAATAAAATATGTACTTACTATTTTGTAATGTTAGATGGTCATGTTCACTGCATTTTCCTTTAAGATACCAGTTTGGTTGCAAGTCCACGTCGATAAATGTCATTTTCACCCTTCCGTATGCTCCTGCGTCTATATACCACTCACATCTCAGATTTTTTCCGTAGAAGTCAAATCCAGGTAGTCTTGTAATTATAGTTCCCGTCATAGATTGGAATTCGTATAACCTCATCATAGTTCGACTGTGATTATCATATTTCACACACATGTGGTCACTTTGACTTCCATCTGTATAGCATAAAAAATATTCATCACATAACTGACCCATTTTACCATGTCATGCGGCCATGTCATAAATATGGTATTTACACACATGCCTTAAGGTGCTGCAATTGGTCAAAATTGTGAACTTCATTAATTTTTTCCCCCCCAATGAATTTCAATGTTTTTGCCATTAAAATGAATTTGAAATCTGTATTATGTCATTATTATTGATTGTCATTGCATTTAAAACTGTTCAGTATTTTAACAAGAGATCCCAGAGGGATCTTGGCGCCCACCTTTGTACCATCTTCATTAGTTCTTTGTCAGTTAGATCTTTTCTCTTCTTTCCTCTAATCTGTTTGATCGAGTCATGTTAACAGTAAATGCACCTTGAGGTAACTTTTGATCTAAACTTAATACTGATGTGTATGAAAGCCAACCTTCAAAGTGAGTTTGTCATTTCACATATTTACTAGTACAGTACTTAATGTGAAAGAAATAGAATCGATCATTGCAATATGAGAAAGATCTGTTTAGTTCTTCTTTTAATCCATTTTGTTTTTATGATCAGTCTCAAAATATAACATACACAACGAGGGATCAAGGGGAACCTACATTTAAAATTTGAGAAAGATCCCTCCCGTACTTCCTGAGAAATAGCGATAACAAACTTTCACTATCAAAATCCAAGATGGCTGCCTGTCGGCCATGCTGTTTATCCGATCAGTCTCAAAAATTGCCCTGCACAGCTAAGGACCAAGAGGAACATACATATAAAAATTTGAGAAAGATCCCTTTGGTACTTCTTGAGAAATAGCGTTAACAAACTTTCACTATCAAAATCAAAGATGGCTGCCTGTCGGCCATGTTGTTTATCCGATCAGTCTCAAAAAAATGCCATGCAAAGCTAAGGACCAAGGGGAACCTACATATAAAATTTGAGAAAGATCCCTCTGATACTTCTTGAGAAATAGCGATAACAAACTTTCACTATCAAAATCCAAGATGGCTGCCTGTCGCCCATGTTGTTTATCCGATCAGTCTCAAAATTAAAGTTGCCATGCAAAGCTAAGGACCAAGGGGAACCTACATATAAAATTTGAGAAAGATCCCTTTGGTACTTCTTGAGAAATACCAATAACAAAAATTGTTTAAGGACGGACGACGGACGGCGGACGGCAGACCAAGGGTGATTTGAATAGCCAACCATCAGATGATGGTGGGCTAAAAATGTGGACCAATTTGCACTGCGCAGAAGGACAATACATGTACTATGTATAGAGTCAGCTGATACACATAATTGTGTTTGAAGTTTCTTTTTTCAAATTGTGAATGTGATATGTAATAAATAGAATCTTATATTCCTGTCCATGTCATATTAAACTTATTAAACTTGTTTTCGAGTTTTATAAGACATGGACACTCATTTAAGATCCTAATTTTATTTAAGGTAAATGTACTGGGATAGATTTACATCTCCCAACTGCACATCACAGGAGGCAACTAATGTGGGGCGCTCTACAGAGTTTCCTTCAAATATGGCGTCTTCTGATCATGAGGACATTAAATAATTTGAAACCTAAATTGATCTGCTGCTCCCATAGCATTATTACTTTGGATCTGCCTTCTTTCTTTCTGACCCTTTCTTTTCTCCCTAGACACCCATCTTCCTATATGTTCTAAGCTGTTTCGAGGACGTTAAACCCCTAACAACTAACCCATCCAATAGACTCCTATGTGACTTAGGCCCCTCTGGCTGATACGGAAGCCTCAGGCTGATACAGAGTAAGATATATGAAAATGGTAAGATAACAACTCCAAATTATCTTATTTAATCATTTATATGCATGTATAGATAGTGTACGCAGTGGTGGCCTGATGGTTAAAGCATCTGCCTGTCTAAGATCATTAGCCATTAACCGATGGGTTGTGGTAGGAGGCCTACATTGTACGTAAGTGCGATCGCCAGCCACTGGCTGTAGTCTGAAAGTCAGTTTTTCTCTGGAAAACCTGGCATGCCCTTAACCCTTTCACCACTGTAAACCATAATGGACTCATCCATATCAATGCATGGTAGAGTCTACTAACGTTACATAGGGGTGAAAGGGTTAAATGACCATAGCTGTTAATCTGATGTTAACCACAAACAAACCAAACCACACATGTGTGACACTGACAGTTTCAATAGGCTATCACTAACCAAGCCCAAATCATCGTTCACTCAAAATGATTTATGACGTATTTCATAAAGAAATTGCAACTAAATATCTTCCCTGGGAAATACTTTCAATATTTACTTTGAACAACATATATGCATTTAACAATGCTAACATAAAAGGTCTACATGCAAAAGTGTAAATTTCCATGAAAAGTCTAAAGCTACATGTATTATTAAATTTATTACTGTATCTTTGATGACCAATCAACACAGAAGAGGTAATTAATTAGGGCCAATAATGGGTCAATAAAACATGTTATAGGAAATGACATCGAAAGGTAAAACAGTTACCTGTAACTTCACTTTGTTTCAGTACAATTATCAATACTAATCCAGCCAGCCAGCATAGTCTTGATCTACAATATAAAGAAAATTACTCCATATTTATATTTTAAATTAATAAAAATTTAATCAACTATTTTTTTTTATTTTTCTTTCCCCCTTTTTGAAGAAAATTGACGGATATTACTTTGTGCCGGTCCATCTGTCCATTGGTCCGTCCGTCTGTCTATCACGTTTCAGAAATTTGGTGTGCAAATACAAACTCACATGTTTAAGACTAAATTCGCTGGTCAATGTCATCTGTCCATATTTATGCATAATTAATCTGAAACCTTTCTCCAGTAATTGATATCTATTTCACTTTATTCCCCATTTCAGTAATAAAGTTCTACTCAAATGTGTAACAGCTGTTACCGAAATGCATTATTGTTATCCATATGCGCTGTTCATATGCCTATAACCAGGTCTAGTACACTATGCCGATTGAGCTATATAGCTATAAAATTAAAGACCTATATAGCTATATTCACCTAAAAATTATAGCTGTATTGAGCTGTAATTTCTCAGATTCAATTTTCATTAAATCCAAGCAAAGTCTCATAAAACAATAAGGTTTATGGTAATGTTGACCACAAAAAGTATACCTACATTTAGATTTTTATTTTCATTTTTCATAAATGTAAATGTGGATTTTTTACATCATTACTTTTTAAAAAGAATACTTAAATTTGTAATGTCTTTTGTTATCAACCTAATGATAAAATCTTTTTTAAAAGCGACTTTGTTTCGTTTTCCTTCAAAACGAAAATCACATGAAAATATAGCCCAAAAAGACCTATTTCAGATAGGTCAATAGTAGAGCTATTATACATTTGTAGGTCTTTACAGCTATATCAGCTCGACTGGCAGAGTGTACTGGACCTGATAACCACGGGCATGCAACTACTATCAGGTTGGGGAAAACCACCAACTTGCTTATATACGCAAACTCGCCTCTTATTCGCCAGATGGAGTATGGATTTGTTACTAAAAATAACCCAAATAGCTTTAACAGTAACTTTTGCAAGATATTATTAAAAATCGCATTAATTTACGACAAGGTAAATAATATTTGGCTAAAAGATAATAACTGAAAGTGTTAGCTACTTAGAAACTTGATGTAACTTTACCAGAATTATTTCATCTATTTTTGGTACTTTCCCACATGTATGCAAATAAAGTTTATTTTTGCATTTGTATTATGTTTCATGACTGAATAAATGCGACTTGGACAAACAATTTGAAAAAGTTCAGATTAAAGTGATTTTGGCTATTTTTAGTAACAAATCCATACCCCTATTGCGTATAATAGGCGAGTTTACGTATTATACGCAAGTTAGTGGTTTTCCCCGACTTGACTATTGATATTGATTGTGTTAGACTTTCAGTCGCTGGGTACGCTGTATTGACATTTAACGTACCCAGTGACAGAAAGTCTAACAAGATCAATACTAACAGTAATTACATACCCCTGTGGCCCAACCTGTTAAAAAAGAGATTTCAATCTAATAACATGAACACACTTTTGTGTGTTGCATAAGCATTTATAAATGAACAGTATTCAGCGTTTTGTAACAACCACCTTGGGAGGAAGTGAATTTGGGTACGATCTTCTACGAGGCGAAGTAATCAGGTTGCCAGTCTTTATGCTATTCTATTAATAAATGTGTTTAAACTAAGAATATTGTCACCATGTCATATCATAAACAAACACCAGGTTGGGGAAAACCACAACTTGCGTATAATACGCAAACTCACCTATTATACGCCAGCTGGAGTATGGATTTGTTACTAAAAATAACACAAATCGCTTTAACAGTAACTTTTGCAAGATATAATTAAAATTTACAAAAATCGCATTAATTTACGACAAGGTAAATAACATTTTGCTAAAAGATGTTAACTGAAAGTGTTGGCTCCTTAGAAACTTGATGTAATTTTACCGGAATTATTGCATCTATTTTTGGTACATTCCTACATACAAATAAAGTTTATTTTTGCATAAATTGTGTAACCCTGGATTTTATAATATGATATATATATATATATATATATGGTGTGTGTATATATTTATACAACGAGTGCTGTCAACTGTCTGTATACACGTGTGTTGTCCCGTCTCGTAAACAGTGTATGTGACGTCATCGATTCGGAATGCATGTACCTGTGTTGTTATGTTCTTTTTCAACATTCTGACTGAATTGTACTTACGACGTAGACCTTGGACCTGCCCCTTGCATGAATAAAGCACCCTATATTCCCGCCACTATATTCTGGCTACTGGGTACCTCGGTCTGCGCGGAAGTTGTGTAGTATTTATTCTATGTATATGAGAGGGTGAATGTATTTATTGTATTGTCCTGTATTGTAGGTTTCTCGGAGATAAAGAAAAGAGATATACTTGAAACAACTTGTATTGTATAAAACTGAGCAACCGGTGACAATTGTATTATGTTTCATGACTTGGACAAACAATTTGAAAAAGTTAAGATTAAAGTGATTTTGGCTATTTTTAGTAACAAATCCATAAATCTATTGGCATATATAATAGGTGAGTTTGCGTATTATACGCAAGTTAGTGTTTTTCCCCGACCTGACTGATTGATATTCATGATCGTGTTAGACTTTCAGTCGCTGGGTACGCTGTATTGGCATTTAACGTACCCAGTGACAGAAAGTCTTACAAGATCAATACTAATAGTAATTGCATACCCCTGTGGCCAAACCTGTTAAAATGAGATTTCAGTCTAATAATATGAACACACATTTGTGTGTTGCATAAGCATTTATAAATGAACAGTATTCAGCGTTTTGTAACAACCTCCTTGGGAGGAAGTAAATTTGGGTACGATCTTCTACGAGGCGAAGTAATCAGGTTGCCAGTCTTTATGCTATTCTATTCATAAATGTGTTTAAACTAAGAATATTGTCACCATGTCACACAAGCACAGGCCTAAGATTATGTTGGGACACGGTGCAACAAGCATTGGGTTCCTGATCAGCAGGAGAGGAGCTTGAAAATATCACCTGCTCGACTTCATAATTGTCTTCCAATCCTATCTTGTAAAAGATTATCTTCCTTCAAAGGAATATCTCACTACGAATCAAATAATTTCAATGAAATATCAGACGGCAGCTGTCAAAACGGGGAAAAGTAATAAACGTAACTTCTCGCAATGGAGAGCTACAAAAATATTATGAACATGCGCAAATTTAACTTCCGGTTGCTTCGCCATCTTGTTGCCAGGAAAGCTTCTTTCCGATTGTCTCTAGATTTTCATAAGGCTAATTCACGTTCTGTCGCAACGACAACAGTAAAACAAGATGGCAAAAGATTGCATGGATGATGTTACATTTAGCAGATTGCTGAATGACATTAATCAGGTAGGTATGACCCAGAAAATCCATGGTTTCCATGGTAAACACTATGTGTCATGCATTATGGTTTTTGTTTGTTTTGTCTCTGTTTAATTTAAAGGTCCCCATGTTCAAGTTTACAACTCAACCGCTATGTCTATTGTTCTCAATTTTAATCTCTTCATGTCACGTCATGGATAATTTTTTTTAATGATTTTGTGGATTACTGTAAATAAATACTATTCAGTGTTAGGCAGAAATTACATGTCATGTATGTTACTTTGTTGGTTATAGTCCACAGCACTAAAATAGACCTACTACATTTATATATTTCTGCATGTAGGTGCACGTGACATCCACAGAATATAAAAAATAAACTAATTGACTTCAGCAGAGATACAAACCTCATATTGTAAAGTTTTACTTTTAGCATGCATACTGTATTGTATGTAATAAGGCCTATCTTAATTTTAAAATTAAGCAGTTTTTGGACAGAAATATTCTTGTTTTATAATTTATCGTTCCAATTATATTAATTATGATTATAGTTTTTTAAAGGCTACTAGTTCATGCACTTGTCTTTGTTACTGAAATCTACTTAGGCCAAAAACTATTACTTGTGTTTCTGCTATTATCCCAAAAAGAAATGGGGGGAAGCATTTTTTTTTTAATTTTGTAAAATATCTTCTGACACTATGCTAATATAGAGAAGGAGTTCTGACTTTAACAGTGCATAGCACTTAATGCCAATACAAACTTCAGCGTAGGCACACACATGTTTACACTGTAGGATTATATAGCAGAAACAAACTTTTTTTGTATTTGGCCTTTTCTCTAGTTGCTGTTATGTTTGGACTAGTGAATATTTTCTAAATTTACCATGAAAATTAAGATCGGCCTAGTAGAACAAAATCAGCCTGCAGGCTACATCTTTTATATGAAATTATATACTTCTGTGACTAGACAACTCCTTCCAATATCGAAGGCTGCAATTCCGCCTACTGTGGCTTGATATTAATATGAAGAAATGCAGTGTTATGATGACCAATGCATTGCCTGACATCCTTTAGATATCATTAACATATCAAACTAGTGCAGAGAATTCTGTAAAAATACTTGTCCAAGATTTCTATCAAATGATATTACTTACAATTCATTATTCTTAAAGACTTTTGATCAGGTAAATTAAGACTGGAAACAATTATGTAGCACCCAGGCACTGTTTGACACAAAACTTCGAGTCCTGTGTACCAGGAAACTTGTGCCCAGTCAAATATTCCCCCTTTTTTATTCAATCCATTTTCGTCTAGTTGTAATTTGCCCAGAGTTTTTGCCAGCTATTTTGGGAAAGGGCCCCTGAGCTGAAGTTGGGAAAATATCTCCGGCATTTTGCAAAAAAAATATAAAATCCCATATGTACAGGTTTGGGAAAATATCAAAGTGTTGAAAAAAATAAAACCTACAATGTGATTTGCAAAAACTTTTCATTTAGCTGTTTCTTATAGTAAAATGTATAGCAATAAATAAACATCAATTTTCAGTGTTTTTGTTTATTCAATTTCAAATTTTCGTTATGTGTTTTGAATGCTCCTTCATGGACGGTAATACTTTGAACTTTGCACATATAACAATCGGAAACTTGTAAAATCATGCTTTTTAATAATCCAATTGGGAGAATGAAGACTGAAATTGGGAAAACACAGGGTCATTTTCCAATTGTGAATTGGCCCCTTACCAGAAAATTCACTGTTATCATAGTGTCATGATAAAATTGCCCTCATTGGGGAGGGCAAAAAAGGCGAAAGTTTAGCTACGGCAAAATATTCCTGGTACATGTATTACAGTATTCATTTTCAGTGCAGTGGAAATGGTAATATTGATACAAATGTACTACAAACAGGTACAAATAAGCAGAAAGCAAATCTGTCAAGCATTTGAGGAGAGGGTAGGGAAAGGGGATATTTATTATATTACCTGGAATGTTTTTCTGATACATGATGTACATGTGTTATCATGTTTTGTGTTTTCCTTTCAGCAAACTTCATCCTTGGATAAGAAAGTTGAGACCCTGTACAGCTCCAGAGGATTTTTCAGTGCTGATCAGGTACTGTGTATTGGTCAAAATGTTTTAACTGTTCACCAGAGAAAGATCAGTCATGGAAAATTAAATTGAATTAAGTGATAAAAAATTAATCTTAGTTTAGTTCAGTCATTTTTTTGCTTAGTTTTAAATCCGAAAATAGGCTACTTACCCTAGCAAAAAAAAGTGCTGTATTTTTCCAAATGAAGAAACTTGACGAATATCTTTCTCAATTTCAATGGAAAAAAGTGCTACATTTTTCCATTTCATGTAGGAAATTAATAGGCTGTTGTAACATTTAAGTAAAAAAACAACATTGTAACCATTTGCTGACTCAAGTTGCTATAAGCCCATGGGTATACATTGTACATGTATTGAGATGCTGAGAATTTAAAAATGGGAAAAAAGTTATATGCAAAACAAAGCTAATTTTAACAAGTACATTGTAAATTATATTCTTAAGGAATGCCATTTTTTTTTTAAAGAATGCACTCAATTGGCATAAATCCTTGTCCTTGCAAAAAAAAGAGCACATCCTTTTTACTGTATGGCCTGTAAAAATTGTAGCTTCTGTATGAGACATATAATCACTTTTTTTTTCTTTTTTTTTTCATGTTTTTGTTTGTTTTTATTCTTTAAGTTATGCAATCTATTTAACCTGAAAATGTTTATCACTAGTACAGTGGGACACTACTCCAACAGTGTTAGAGGTTTACAGGGCGAGATACTTTTGACAGGCGCCGTGTATGCAAAATCTTATCCTCATGGTATATAGGAGTAATGGGACACATACTTAGGCTAAACCAAAAATATTTGGTGTTTCCGGTAACCCTTCCTGTAACCCTAATTTTTTGTGCCTGCCTACCCTTAACTTTTTAAGGCAATTTTAAAAGAAGCACTGTTAAAGTCAAGATCACTCTCCTATATAAACCATATAAAATTATGTTTATAAATACAATCTGTTACCTACCTACCTACCCCTAATTTTTTTCAACATACAACACAAATATTATTTTGTCCGACCTTATTTTGATTAAAAACAATTCCATTAATTTATATTGTCATTTTTACTTCTGATTTTACTTTTCAGGCGGCCACATTATTGTATGCTTATGGAAGTCCAGCAGACAAGATCAAGGCAATTAGGGTCCTGGAGTCTGTAAGTTGAAACATCAAAATATCTATAAAAATTAATGTTAACTACAATTTCTGTAGATAATTTCTTATAGAGTTGATGTGCATGGTTTCCTTTCCTAATAAAGTTTATTTTTATCATTGCAAGTCAATTTTAACAAGAAAAGTGCAAAAAATAAATTGTAAATGAAGACCAGCTGGATTTCATATCACTCTGCGAAATTAATTGATATTTTGATAATAATAATGTTTATATAAAATCATAATCAATTTTTTTTTTTCTGATACGATTACTTCTAACTTACAAATTCATCTACAAAAGTACTTGTTCATCTTCTAAGGTAGTTGTGTAGCTAGAGATTATACTACAAATAACGGGGTTGTAAAAATTAATCAATAAAAATAATGGATCAATAAAGGAAAACTGAGTACATTTAAGTACATATAAATATTTATAAAATGATTTTTCTCCTTTTTTCCCCAGAGGCTATGTCGAATGACCTGTAAGGACGCCAGAGAAATTATCGGAGCAGTCAGTGTTCATAACGACAAGCTTATTGTGTTGGATTGTATAAAAAGGTAAGGCACATATCANCCCTTTGAAATTCATGTCCTTAACTCATTCACCCCTAAAAACACATTTGAACTTTTCCAATTCAAAGGTTTGAATAGTTCATTATGAAATTTCAAGGGGTGAATAAATTAAATGACCTTTATAACTGTTGATAGGATGTTAAACCCTGATAACCAACCAACCTTTAAAATTTCCCTATTAAAAGAAAAAAGTTTTATTTTGTTTTTTGATGAATTAAAAATATATGAAATGTAGCGATTCTTTTGTAACATCTTTAAGATGATAATTTGTAAAAAAAAAATCAATTCTTTGGAAAATTTGTTGTTTACCATTCAACAAGGGGGAGTGGGGATATTAACAATGTCTTTATGTTTTGACTTCTACAGACCGTAAAAGATGTCATGAAATTAATTGAACATTAAAAGTTCATTTTTATTTTCAGATCAAAAAAAGTTTTAAAAAAAATAAAATAAAAATTAGAAGTTTTTTGAAAACATCCAGTATGCAAGACAGGCCCATACTGTTGTTTTCAAAAAACTCCAATTTTTATTTTATTTTAACTTTTTTTTATGTTGGACTTTTAATGTTGAATTAATTTAGGTGCCTCTAGAGTCTGTCAAATCTTTCTTTCATCAGTGTGAAATTATTTCATAAGGTTTTGTATAAAATTTTGGATTTATAAAATTTCCATGAATTTTTCATGTTCTCTTTGTAGATAAATAATCAATGGTAAAGTACCTAGTATATAGTTGAGATACATTAATTATCACTTCATATAAAATATCTTTTTTTGTTTTGTTTGTTAAAATAGCAGATATATCTTTGAAATTTTATGACATTGGATATATACACATACTCATATGTGATCTTCATGCATGCAGTTTTATAATTAGTTTGAAAAATAATACATGTGAATTTATAAAATGTTGGTATTTTTTTATTAATTACATCTTTAATTATGTTTTGGTGTAAATTCCTGTTACATGATCTTTTTGACCATGCATGACAGTTACTGCATGACTATTTATCAAATTGAATGGCTTTTTTAGTACACAGGTATCAAACAATAAGAAATGTTCAGACAGTAGTTGTAGATTTTAGTTTTGAATTAATACTGTTCAGTCATGTGTCTTGTAAGTTCAATTTGTTAAAATTTCAAATTTGATGTTTCTAAATGTTTTTGTAAAATAATATTTCAAAACTTAATTGTCGTTGTAAAATTAAGTTAAGAAATCATAACAGTGTGTAGTTCTTCCATGTTTTTCCACCAGATGAATATTTAGTGTAGTATATGTGCTAATTAATACCAATATATACTTTTAGTACTTTTTCATATACCTGATCTGCCGTCACTTGGCTAAGATTATATGTACATGTATGTCAAAAAGCAAATGTTAGACTAGTGTTTCACAAATAGTAGCTAAAATTTTAGATTACAGCGACCAATTTTATTTGATAAAGTTTTTCTGGTAGTCATGTTATATTCTTATGTGACATTCTGAGCTCAATAACTGCACTGATGTTTATCTCTCGGATATTGATGTTTATCTCCCAGATATTGATGTTTTTCTCCTGGATATTGATGTTTTTTCTCCTGGATATTGATGTTTTTCTCCTGGATATTGATGTTTTTCTCTCAGATATTGATGTTAATCTCTCGGATATTGATGTTTATCTCGCAGAAATTGATGTTTGTTTCCCGGATATTGATGTTTCCCCCCTGGATATTTATCTTTTTCGCCCATAAATTGATGTTTTTTTACCTGGATATTGATCTTTTTCTCCTGGATATTGATGTTTATCCCCGGGATATTGATGTTTACTTCCCTGATATTGATGTTTCCCCTCGGATATTGATATTTTTCTCTTGGATATTGATGTTTATCTCCTTGAAATTGATGTATTTCTCTCAGATATTGATGTTAATCTCTCGGATATTGATGTTTTTCTCTCAGATTTTTATGTTTATCTCCTGGATATTCATGTTTGCCTCCCGGATATTCATGTTTGTCTCCCAGATATTGATGTTTTTCTCACATATATTGATGTTAATCTCTCAGATATTGATGTTAATCACTCTGATATTCATGTTTATCTCCTGGATATTGATGTTTTACTCTTGGATATAGATGTTTTTCTCCCAGATATTAAACTTTTTCTCTCGGATATTGATGTTTATCTCGCAGAAATTGATGTTTGTCTCCCGGATATTGATATTTCCCCCCTGGATATTTATCTTGTTCGCCCATAAATTGATGGTTTTTTACCTGGATATTGATCTTTTGCTCCTGGATATCGATGTTTATTTCTCGAATATTGATGTTTATTTCCCGGATATTGATGTTTATCTCTCGGATATTGATGTTTATCTCCCATAGATTAATATTTTTCTCCCGGATATTGATATTTTTCTCCTGAATATTGATGTTAATCTCTCAGATATTGATGTTTATCTCTTTGATATTGATGCTTTTCTCTCGGATATTGATGTTTTCTTTCTTATGTTGATATGTTTCTCTTGGATATTGTTACCTCAATAACTTCCACCAGCATTTTGAGTACTGATAAATAAAGGTCACAAAAATTAATTCCTAATTTAAATAATCAAATGCAGCTCAGATATTCTTTATACAGAAAATTTAAATGGTATAAATATGCATGTATGCACTGACTGCTTACATCCAGGCAAGGTATGCACTGTGAACCCTTGGTTTTCAAAGTAGACTAATTCTGTAAGATCTACAAAAAGAAAACTCATGCTTAGTGATACCATAAGCCCAGTGATTTACCAATTAAAAAAAAGGAATGCTCTTTTTTTTACATTTTTGCCAATTTTTTAGTCTGAAATGGACGGTCTTTTGTGTTCCAGGTAAGGTTAGGAGTATTTTAAAAGAAACATCCCTTTCTTTTAGGGACCATTTTATGAATATTAGTTATAGATAGTTAGCAATTATATGTAATGGTTGACAATAATTTTTTTGAAGAATGTCAGATTGTTTTTTTAATCCAGTTTTAGGTTTTTCAGCATTTTTTTTAAATTATTCAGAAAAAAAATTAAATTCAAAAAGCATATATTTTATGATATTTTTGTTTATCTGACACCAGGTGTTTATTAGTTATGAGTTGGCTCTGAGATTATCAGCAACTAAACTGAAAATAGCACTGCATAGAACACCCGGACAGTGCCCAGCAACACAGGTACTGGAAAAACTTGTGTAACACATATAGCATAGATCTTGGAATAAGTTAAAAGATATCTGATAAAATGCCAGGGACCTCTTGGACAAGCTGTTAAGAGAAGTTATGGAATGTTTTTTGTAGGTGTCTGTGTGACTATCAGACGACGATGGGGGAAGAGTATATCTTCAGTGCCTTCCCTTTCGAACACGACAAACAGAGAGCCATGCAAATTCTGCAGACTGTAAGTATTATTTTGTGTACAATCAGGTCTGATTTTATTTACAAAATCTTATAATTGCCCAGTGTCTGTTAATTGTCACTGTGTTTGACAATGCTGGGAGGTCTTTCGATAAGGCCCTATATAATAGGTGGATTCAGTGGCTGTTTCCATGCAGTGGCATTGTGAAAAATGTAGGGTAGGCCTATATTTATTATTTAATTTTTTCAATTTCATATTAATTATTTTTCTAAGTATTCATAAAGGCAGCCATGTTCAATTCCCTGATCGGACGTGAAAAGGCATTGGGTCAACTGCCCCACCAGGTGGGTTTTCTCCAGGTACTGAGGTTACCTCCCACATTAACCCACCCTCACCCGCTAACATCTGGGCCAATAAGAGAGATTAGTATAAGTTTAAATAACTTGTTTCATAATTGTTGTAAAATACATATGACAAACATGTGACAATACTGTGGACTACACAAACAGGTTTGACAAGTACATGTATTAACTCATTCACCCCTGAAGACACATTTGAACCCTTCCAATTCAAAGGTTGGAATAGTTCATTATGAAACTTCAGGGATTAATGAGTTAAAATAACATATATTGTAGTGAATGTATTTGGTGTTTGGTGTGGGACGTCATGTCTCTTTGGCCACTGTTACAGGTTGGATCGTCTGTGGCCAATAAGGTAGCCGCTGGAGGTCACCAGGGTTACGCCGCCCTCGGAGGCCTCTACACACAGGCCCGCCCGATGGTCCCTCATCTATACGGGCCCCTACCCATGCAGGCTGATCTCATCCCCGTAAGTAACAAACACTTTGTAACTTTTAATCAACTGTATTGGATGATTTTATAATTCCATGTTATTTTACAAGGATAATCTATTATAAATTCATGTATTTCACCATTATTTATCTAACCATTTTAGTATATGTGCAGGGCATGTTTATGCTAGTTTGTACCCAAACATTTGCAGTTAATTTGATAAAGTTGAAGTTAAAACAATTGTAACATCAAAATAAAGAAACTAAATTGTTTCATTGGTTTAGAGTTGAGACACCATGGCCAGTCATTTGCATTCTTTGCTTGACAAAGGAAACATATTTTCAAAAGTTTGCAAAATAAGTTTTGCAAGTACTGTTTGTGTTCAAAACAAACTAAGAATTTATCCTTCAAAATTTGTTTTTAAAATAACTGTAGCAATAACAAAATGGAAACTGCTTCAAAATTTGTTTATAAAACAGTTGTATCTGTATGTACATGTATGGTCAGTTTAAAAAATGTGATGTTCTATGTTCATTATTGTAAACTTTTTTCTATTAATCCTATATATGATTGTTGTAATAATTATCAGTTCATAAGAAATGCAAACAAATGTTAAAATTTCATTGTCCTGACTAGTAAGCCCATCCCCCAGTTCTGCATGAGTGCAAGATTAATTGTTGGCCTCCAGGGCTTGTTACAGGATATAAATTGTATCCTGGGAACATTTTGTCTTTCACTGACCAGTAGAATCCTATTTTTGTACAGTGTTAATCGCATATTTTTGCCAAGTATAATATGTGGTGTATTTAAATTATGCTCACAGTCATGATAAAGTGCATGGCCCTCATTACGGCGGGTGAAAAAGGTGAAATTACACTGCGGCAAAAATATCCCAATATACAGTATGCATTAATGTTTTAATGAAAAAGACTGCTAGTTTCTATTTCTATCAACTTGACACATATTTATTTTTATTTTTTTCAATACAGGGCTATGGTAAGATTGAGATCCCCCCTGAGGCCCAGCCCGGCGTGGTACCATCTGTGTACACTGGTCACCCATCATACGCCTACCCACCTGATAAAAGCTATGCCGAAGATAGAGGTTACCCTGGCAACAGCTCCTTCTCCCAAGGGCAGACAACTCACACCTATCCAGCTGGAGCTCCTCCATTGGGCTACCACAGTGGGGCGCCATATTCCACCGGCTTTCCTCAACTAGAGGCCTAACTAATCAAATAAATACTAAATAATGCTTGGAGGATGTTGTTTAGGATGAAATGTAATTCAGAGACAATTCAAATTCTTAAGTTATAATTCTATCTTACAAACATTCCAAGAGTGATACCTTGGTTAAATGTCCTGCAACAAGGTTGAAAATTTGACTGAACAAGTTATAATGTCCATCATTTTGTGCCAATTAAGTATCTAAAAAAATGCAGTGCGTTCTTTTATTGACCAACACATTTAGAGACACAGTATAAATAAAATAATATATTGAATTCAGACAAAAGTTTTAATTTTAATTTGTTTCATTATTTTTTAAAGAAAAGAATTGGGCATTGGACACACTTTAATTATTAATTCATCATTTAGACAGGAAAATAAACGTTGTTTTCTTTGTTTAAAAAGGAAATCTACCATAATCTGGTATCTACAACTTCACACATCCCCTATCTGTGATAAAATTGTGATATTGTTTTTTTGATAAATGTTCTATTTATAACCTAAAGATGTTACAAGTACGTTTCTATGTATAAATATGTGTTATTCTGAGAAACAAGATGTGCTGGAACCTTCATATAAATTAAAAATCAAATTATAAGCCAAACCGATGTTGGTAGACATTAAGACAATTATTTATGCATGTGATCTTGTCAAGTGTAAAGTTAAATTGTATACAGTATTATTAAGTGACGTAAGACCACAATGAACTGTCCTGTTGACCTTTGATTTACATATTGGTTACAGGTGAGTCGAAATATTCATAAAGGGATATTAGCCCTTTCACCCCTATGTAACTTTAGTAGACTCTACCATGCATTGATCTGGATGAGTCCAATATGGTCTACATTGGTGAAAGGGTTGGGTAGACCTATCATCAAAGTAAGTGCTTACTGTACCCTATACACCTGAACAATGAGCAGGTAGGCATATCTAAAAAAAAATGCAATCGCCTGATATGAATATTCCACCCAAATTTCAGCATATTGGGTTATACTGTACTCTACTTGCGTGAACAAATGAAATTATCCAATATGAATATTCCACTCAAATTTCAACATTTCAGGCCATTTTGGTCTGAATAATTGTGATTCTATTTGATAAATTTAATTGCTCGGGTGTTTTTTTTATTGAGGATTAAAATCTCTATAGTGAATTAACCAATATGATGCCAAAATGTGTTTATAGTAAATATAGCATTCTACAGAAAGTTAGTAGAGATCAGCATTAATTTTGATATTCAATTTGTACAACACTCCTGGAGTAATGACATTCTGATTCATACGTTTTTGTTTGATTAAGACAAAATATTAAATAATGTAAATTGTCATGCATGAATGAATTTCAATATAATGAATGTCTATTTCCCCTAAATAGTTATTTATAGCAAGATTTTTGAAAATTGAAAGAAAAGTGGAGATGGAGAGAAAGAGAAGATTCAAGAAAAAATAATCTTCTGTTTCTTTCAAAAACAGCAATAATTAAGATAAGAATTATAATAACAAACTTAGAGGAATTCTAGGTATTTATGATATCATACATATATATAATTCTATTACTTTCTATTCTAATTTGCTCAAGAACTTTCAGCACATCCTTGATCCAGTCAATTATAATCCTTCTGCGATATTTCTAAGATAAACTGTAAGCGTACTTATTTTAGCGCACTCTTATTTTAGCGCATTATCAAATTTTATCAGATCAGTGCACGGATAAATTGACGCACCCAAAGTATGCAATAAAATTCAATATACACAAGAACTTCAATTAGTGCATGCATTATTTAGCAAAAAATTTAAAGTGCAAAAATCGCTAAAATAAGACTACCGCTAAAATATGTACGCTAACAGTATGATAAATAGATGTAACCCAGTTACATTTAGATATGTTACAAATATTACGCGTTAATGTATTGTTGTATATGTGTGTCTTTTTACATTGTTATGAACTATCAGATATTTATATTATTTGTTGATGAAACATTGTCGCTTGATTTATAAACATTTTAAATATTTTTCAGCATCAGTATTAAATCCCAGTCATGTTGTCCTGCTTTTTTTCGTCTTCTGAAGATATCCTAATTTTTATAAATGGATTATATGTTTCATGGTACATTTATATTTCAAAAGATGTTATTGAGTTTCTGAAATGTGCTTATGAAGTTTACTTCCAGTCATATATTTAAGTCTATAAATACTGCTTGCGAAATCGTTAGAGCTTTTTAGATGTTAAATTTTGAAGAGGCAAATCTTTCATTTTAAGAATTGATGTGGGTTTTTTCTCTGTTGCTTTCTTTTCCATTTGTAATATCAAATTGATATTTTAAAAATTCTGCTAAATTGGCCTTTCCTTTATTTTCTATTTGCAATTTCATTTGAAGTTCACATTTTCAAAAATTCTGCTAAAAGGGTCTTAACAACTTAAAATCTGTCTAATTATAGACATTTAATTGACAAAGATTCGTGATTTATCAAACACTTTATATACTTGCATCTGATTTGTAATCTCATAATAAAAAAAAAACAGTGAACAAAATGAGTAGATTTTATGAAGATTTGTTTCCCTTCCCATGCAGTGCACAAAATCAAATCAAAATATGTCAGCATTTTACAATGACTAAGTACACACACAAACATTTTAATTTAGTTCTATATACCTGAGTATGAGAACATTTATTTTTTAGGTTGGTTAAAAAAATACATTAATAAATTAATAAATTATGCCATACAGGGTTTTATTTTATTTTTTAATGTGTATTAAATACTTAAGTTTATAAGATGTTTATAGCTCTCTATTTATATTCACAGATATTGTCAGAAAAAACATGTTTTTCATTAGGGTTCTTTTATAAAAGACAAAAGTTTTGATTTTGTTTGCGGTCAAATAATTTATTTCTTTGAAACTTTTTTTTTTTTTTTAACATACAAAATTGCATTTACAACAAATTTCCAGCCTTTTCAGATTTGTTTGATTCTGCTGGTGATGCAAATTTTACAAAATTTCTAGCTGAAGAGATCAAAAGATGTTATTTTTAGAAAGATGAGCTTTTATATATATTGCTTGTTTGTTTATCGCCTACAAATGTAGCTCACAGATAGATAGATCACTTTTTTTATTTTTCCCACAAAAGTTTTTTTATTTTTTTATTTATGCTTAAAATCACTGATTTGCCTTGCTGTTCCCCACATAACATAGGTTACAATTACAGTAGCAAACAAAATAAAATACATAGACTGAAATCAAAAGTTTGAGAAGAACAGATCTACTCTTTACTCGAAAATGTTCATTACATATTATGAGTGAAGCGGAATAATTTGGCCTTTTGTGCAAATCACATATATATATAAGCAGAGAAGTTTTACCGAAATATGTGTCTATATTTAGAATTCAGTTGAGCGTTTCTCCATCACCAATATTTGCCAATTTTGTGCACTATTTAACATTATTTTTTGTACGCTATACGTAATTGCAGTGCTTGCTATTTCCGTCATGATATGTTACTCTTTGCATAATTTTCAGAATATTTACTCTTACAAACAGGAAAAAAATAAATTCTATGTGCACACAACTATTGAGAGTTTTTGGTCTGTTGAAAAATTTGAATTGTCATATATTACATATATATATATATAATAAAAAGTGATTAAATGTCCATGTGAAGGAAATAAATATAGAAAAAATAAAATTAACGACCGACTAAAAAACTAGCTGGGTATACTCACTTGATAACCCAGTACATTATATGTGATAAATATGAATTCCTTAACCAATGGATGCAATATATACAATCTTTGGTAGGAAACATAATCATGAATGGATCAATTTATGCAATATTGTGTTCTTCAAGACATTCACAGACATGATCTGACGTCACTGTGGCGAAAGAAGCGTTAGTTATCAATTCAATCAATGTCAAGGAGAACAGGGGGGTGTTTGGATATTAATTTTAATGTTTTATCCTTCTCCTTCCGTTCAAAATGAGCGATTTAAACCACATTTGGTGCAGAGCATCCTTGGGCACAGTGGAATTCATTTTGTATAAATAGAGGATGTGTCCCCCTGAGAGAAGAGGAATGGGGCCTTATAGGGGAAATTTAGGTAAATGTTAAAAATACACCCTAATTTATTGGGTCAGAAAGAAGGGATCAAAGTGGCAAAGTGGAATTTAGTTTGTATAAATGGAGGATGTGTCCCCCTGAGAGAAGAAGAGTGGGACCTTATAGGGAAAATTGAGGTAAATGTTGAAAATCCACCCCACTTTATTGGGGCAGAAAGAAGGGACTAAAGGAGAAAGACGGATATTGCCGAGAGACAAAGCCAAAATCTTGGAAATAGTAGCAGTATTATTTTAATATTCAATGGGAATTTTTTCCCATGGTTGCTTAATTATCCCGGTGAGCTATATAAGCCCTCTTTGCTCTTGTTGTTGTATAGGACATTTCTTTTTTCTACATATTTTTCGGAACATTTTAAAGGGACAAACTTAAAAAAAAACCACAGATGATTGCACCCATAAAATTTGATTATAGAGACTGTAAGCTAAATATTAAATACACAACATCAACAGTTGTTCTGTACTTCTAGGACTAGGCGGTGATTCTAAGGGCCAAATAGGTGCATGGTCTTAACTAAACCGTTGGAACAGAAACAGGGGGCGGTAGGTGAATAAAAACAACACTTAATTTTTATGAATTTGAAAAATTAAAGGAGTACTGGGTCATTTCAAATTAATAATGAGGGTAAAGTGTGTAATATGAACCCTGCCACTAAAAAGATATAATAATGGCCATCAAAGTTTCGATGAACATCGGGACTAGAAAATCCACAAGCAGTGTCTGTATTTATAAACTTGTATTTTCCATTCTTTTTACCTTCAGTACCACTGGTGAGTCCTAGAAAGACGAAATGGCCATATGGTGCAGGGAAATGTATACTTTCGTTTTGACGCTGTGGTATATATTGTCTTTGTGTTGACGCTGTGGTATATGTTTTGCCTTTGTGTTGACACTGTGGTATATGTTGTTTTCGTGTTGATACTGTGGTATATGTTGTCAGTGTTGACACTGTGGTATATGTTGTCTTAGTGTTGACACTGTGGTATATGTTGTCTTAGTGTTGACACTGTGGTATTATTGTTTTTGTGTTGATGCTGTGGAAAATGTTGTCTTAGTGTTGATGCTGTGGTATATGTTGTCTTAGTGTTGACACTGTGGTAAATGTTGTTTTTTGTGTTGATTCTGTGGTATATACTGTCTTTGTGTTGACACTGTTGTATATGTTGTCTTGGTGTTGACGCTGTGGTATATGTTGTCTTGGTGTTGATACTGTGATATATGTTGTCTTAGTGTTGATGCTGTGGTATATCTTGACTATGTGTTGACGCTGTGGTATATGTTGACTATGTGTTGACGCTGTGGTAAATGTTGTCTTTGTGTTGACGATGTGGTAAATGTTGTTTTTTGTGTGATTCTGTGGTATATTCTGTCTTTGTGTTGACACTGTTGTATATACTGTCTTTGTGTTGACGCTGTGGTAAATGTTGTCTTTGTGTTGACAATGTGGTAAATGTTGTCTTGGTGTTGACGCTGTGGTATATGTTGTCTTTGTGTTGACGCTGTGGTAAATGTTGTCTTTGTGTTGACAATGTGGTAAATGTTGTCTTGTTGTTGACGCTGTGGTATATGTTGTCTTTGTGTTGACACTGTGGTAAATATTGTCTTTGTGGTGACGCTGTGGTATATGCTGTCTTGGTGTTGACGCTGTGGTATATGTTGTCTTGGTGTTGACGCTGTGGTATATGTTGTCTTAGTGTTGAAACTGTGGTATATGTTGACTATGTGTTGGCGCTGTGGTATATGTTGACTATGTGTTGACGCTGTGGAAAATGTTGTTTTTTGTGTGATTCTGTGGTATATTCTGTCTTTGTGCTAACACTGTTGTATATACTGTCTTTGTGTTGCCGCTGTGGTAAATTTTGTCTTTGTGTTGACAATGTGGTAAATGTTGTCTTGGTGTTGACGCTGTTTGTCTTGTTGTTGACGCTGTGGTAAATGTTGTTTTTTGTGTTGATTCTGTGGTATATACTGTCATTGTGGTGACACTTAAATGTTGTTTTTTGTGTTGATTCTGTGGTATATAGTCTTTGTGTTGACAATGTGGTAAATGTTGTCTTGTTGTTGACTCTGTGGTATATGTTGTCTTAGTGTTGATGCTGTGGTATATGTTGTCTATGTGTTAACGCTGTGGTATATGTTTTCTTTGTGTTGACACTGTGGTATATGTTGTCTTTGTGTTGACGCTGTGGTAAATGTTGTCTTTGTGTTGACAATGTGGTAAATGTTGTCTTGTTGTTGACGCTGTGGTATATGTTGTCTTTGTGTTGACACTGTGGTAAATATTGTCTTTGTGTTGACGCTGTGGTATATGTTGTTTTTTTGTGTGATTTTATGGTATATAATGTCTTTGTGTTGACACTGTTGTATATGTTGTCTTGGTGTTGACGCTGTGGTATATGTTGTCTTTGTGTTGACACTGTGGTAAATGTTGTCCTTTTGTTGACGCTGTGGTATATGTTGTCTTTGTGATGACACTGTGCTAAATATTGTCTTTGTGTTGACGCTGTGGTATATGCTGTTTTTTTGTGTGATTCTGTGGTATATACTGTCTTTGTGTTGACACTGTGGTATATGTTGTCTTGGTGTTGACGCTGTGGTATATGTTGTCTTGGTGTTGACACTGTGGTAAATGTTGTCCTTTTGTTGACGCTGTGGTATATGTTGTCTTTGTGGTGACACTGTGGTAAATATTGTCTTTGTGTTGAAACTGTGGTATATGTTGTCTATGTGTTGACGCTGTGGTAAATGTTGTTTTTTGTGTTGATTCTGTGGTATATACTGTCATTGTGTTGACACTGTGGTATATGTTGTCTTTGTGTTGATGCTGTGGTATATGTTGTCTTGGTGTTGACGCTGTTGTACATGTTGTCTTTGTGTTGATGCTGTGGTATATGTTGTCTTTGTGTTGATGCTGTGGTATATGTTGTCTTTGAGATGACGCTGTGGTATATGTTGTCTATGTGTTAACGCTGTGGTATATGTTGTCTTAGTGTTGACACTGTGGTATATGTTGTCTATGTGTTGACGCTGTGGTAAATGTTGTTTTTTGTGTTGATTCTGTGGTATGTACTGTCTTTGTGTTGACGCTGTTGGATATGTTGTCTTGGTGTTGACGCTGTGGTATATGTTATCTTGGTGTTGAAGCTGTGGTATATGTTGTCTTAGTGTTGAAACTGTGGTATATGTTGTCTATGTGTTGACGCTGTGGTAAATGTTGTTTTTTGTGTTGATTCTGGGGTAGGTACTGTCTTTGTGGTGACGCTGTTGGATATGTTGTCTGGGTGTTGAAGCTGTGGTATATGTTATCTTGGTGTTGACGCTGTGGTATATACTGTCTTTGTGTTGACACTGTGGTATATGTTGTCTATGTGTTGACGATGTGATATATGTTGTCTTAGTGTTGACACTGTTGTATATGTTGTCTTGGTGTTGATGATGTGGTATATGTTGACTTTGTGTTGACGCTGTGGTACATTTTGAATTTGCGTAATGAAGTTGAGGTCTATTTAGTCATTTTGATTTGACGCTGTGGTATATGTTGTCTTTGTGTTGACACTGTGGTATATGTTGTCTTAGTGTTGACGCTGTGGTATATGTTGTCTATGTGTTGACGCTGTACTATATGTTGTCTATATGTTGATGTTGTGGTATATTGTGTCTTTGTGTTGACGCTGTTGTACATGTTGTCTTTGTGTTGATGCTGTGGTATATGTTGTCTTTGTGTTGATGCTGTGGTATATGTTGTCTTTGAGATGACGCTGTTGTATTTGTTGTCTTAGTGTTGACGCTGTGGTATATGTTGTCTTTGTGTTGACACTGGTATATGTTGTCTTTGTGTTGACGCTGTTGTATATGTTGTCTTTGTGTTGACGCTGAGGTATATGTTGTCTTTGTGTTGACGCTGTGGTATAAGTTGTCATTGTGTTGATGCTGTGGTAAATGTTGTCTTGTGTTGACGGTGTGGTATATGTTGTCTATGGGTTAACGCTGTGGTATATGTTGTCTTAGTGTTGGCACTGTGGTATATGTTGTTTTTTGTGTTGATTCTGTGGTATGTACTGTCTTTGTGTTGACGCTGTGGTATATTGTGTCTTGGTGTTGACGCTGTGGTATATGTTGTCTTGGTGTTGACGCTGTGGTATATGTTGTCTTTGTGTTGACACTGTGGTAAATATTGTCTTTGTGTTGACGCTGTGGTATATGTTGTCTTTCTGTTGAAACTGTGGTATATGTTGTCTATGTGTTGACGCTGTGGTGAATGTTGTTTTTTGTGTTGATTCTGTGGTATATACTGTCATTGTGGTGACACTGTGGTATATGTTGTCTTTGTGTTGACGCTGTGGTATATGTTGTCTTGGTGTTGACGCTGTTGTATATGTTGTCTTTGTGTTGATGCTGTGGTATATGTTGTCTTTGTGTTGATGATGTGGTATTTGTTGTCTTTGAGATGACG